GCACATTTAGACTGAAGAAGTTTAGAATAATGATTTGATCAGAGCTGGACAGTCTTATCTTAAATTACAGTTTTATGTAAATATTCAAAAATGTTGAACCTACTGATGCCTCAATTAATGTAATTCTATTGGTATCTATTTCTATTTTGAAATTTACCAGTAGATGCTGCATTTCCCACCCTTGGCTTATACTTGAGTCAATCTGTTTTCCCAGTTTTTATGGTAAGACTAGCCGTCCCCTGCCACGCGTTGCTGTGGCCCAGTCTGTGTATATGTTTTCTGTGTGTATATATGTGTATATGTGTGTGTATATTTGTGTATATGTGTATACACGTGTGTTTGTGATATGTGTGTGGTTTTGTGCATGCATTTTAATGGTTTTTTTTTAAAAAAAATGCTTTTTAAGTCCCTTCCGCTGCATTTTTCAGTGTTTTTATGAGTGATGGTCACTTGTTGGCCTTATAGGTGTGTTGTGTCCAAATTTGGTGTCAATTCATCCAGTGGTTTTTGAATTATATTAATCCCACAAATGAACATTACATTTTTATTTATATAGTCTAGTCGTCCCCTGCCACGTGTTGCTGTGGCTCACATGGGGGTTCTGTGTGGGAGGTTTGGTCCAATTCCATCGTTGGTGGGATTCAGAATGCTGTGATTGTGAACTATAAATCCCAGCAACTACAGCTCCCAAATGTCAAGATTGTATTTTCCCCAAACTCCACCAGCGTTCACATTGGGACATATTGAGTATTCTTGTAGAGTTTGGTCCAGATCCATCATTGTTTGAGTCAACAGTGATCTCTGGATGGAGGTGAACTACAACTCCAAACACAAAGGACACTGCCCACCAAACCCTTCCAGTATTTTCTGTTGGTCATAGGGGAACTGTGTGCCAAGTGTGGTTCAATTCCATCGTTGGTGGGGTTCAGAATGCTCATTGACTGTAGGTGAACTATAAATCCCAGCAACTACAACTCCCAAATGACAAAATCTTTTTTGAGTGAAGGACATAGATTGGGTTGTTAGGTGATTTGTGTCCAAATTTGGTGTCAATTCGTCCAGTGGTTTTTGAGTTCTGTTAATCCCACAAATGAACTTTGCATTTGTATTGTCGAAGGCTTTCATGGCCGGAATCACTGGGTTGTTGTAGGTTTTTCTGGGCTATATGGCCATGTTCCAGAGGCAATTTTCTCCTGACGTTTCGCCTGCATCTATGGCAAGCATCCTCAGAGGTAGTGAGGTCTGTTAGAAGTAGGAAAAATGGGTTTATATATCTGTGGAATGACCAGGGTGAAAGGCACTGCAAACTACTCCAACCAGAGAAATCAGCCATAGCAGAGCACCTGATGAACCAACCTGGACACAGCATATTATTTGAGAACACAGAAGTGCTGGACCACTCTCACAACCACCATGTCAGACTACACAGAGAAGCCATTGAAATCCACAAGCATGTGGACAATTTCAACAGAAAGGAAGAAACCATGAAAATGAACAAAATCTGGCTACCAGTATTTAAAAAAACTCAAAAATCACAACAGCAAAACAACAGAGGGGAAACAAACAGGCACATAAAATCACTCTCAACAAAAGATTCCCCCCAGGCACTTCCAAGCCATTGAATGCAAATCAAGGTGATCAGTTGAAACATTCACACCTAGCTCCAGCAGACAAGAGTCCTTTGTCCCACCCTGGTCATTCCACAGATATATAAACTAGGCCTGGGTAACAACGGAAAAATTTGTTTCTAAAATCGATTTGTATTTGGGGGGTTTTTTTGTTTCGATATTTAAAATAATTACAAAATTTTCCTTTTAAAAAGTTCGATATTTACGAAATTTCGTAAATGGTAAAAAATTAACGAATCGATTTCCGAAACAATAATGAATCGATTCGTTAATGGCGGACGCGACCGCGAAATACGCTAAAAAACCTCCAAAACCTTCTGAAGCTTCCCTCTCCCTCTGTTGTTGACTGTTGGTGTGATATTATAATTTTTTTTCACTAATTAAACCATAAAACTGGCCCAGACATGCGGAAATAATAATGAAACGACCTCAAAACAATAACGAAACGAATACAATATCGAAATACGAAGCATTTACAAAACGTTTTTGAAAATTCGTTTTTTTTAATAATTGCTCCAGAATGGTTCGTTATCGTTTTGTAATTGAAAAAATTAACGAATTATTAACGAATTATAACGAATTACGAATTAACGAAACGAAACCGCCCAGCCCTAATATAAACCCTTTTTCCTAGTTCCAACAGACCTCACTACCTCTGAGGATGCTTGCCATAGATGCAGGCAAAACGTCAGGAGAAAGATTGCCTCCGGAACATGGCCATATAGCCCGGAACAACCTACAACAACCCGAACATTACATTTTTATTTATATAGATTAGGTGCCTCGGATTATATTCGGGTTGGCTTATACTTGAGTATATAAAGGTATATTAAAATACACAGTGACAAGATTTAAATACAATACCAATTTAAAATTCACAGTTGTAAACTCTTGGGATGGAGCAATTAGTTAATTTCAGTTACTTTTTCTTATATTTGACAATACATTCATTCTATTCCATTTCTGCCTTAATGTATGGGTTTTCAGAAATCAGAATCAGTATTTAAATAAGTATTTTCTATCAGCACACACACTGAAAATGTCTCTATATGCTCTCTCTTTCTCTAAAGCCAAGAATATGACAAATTTTGGGAAGTGCAAACGCAATCGAGGAATGAAGTTTGGACATGCATGTTTGGCCTTGCAAGGTAGATCAGGTCAATCACACGAGAAAGTGCAAAGGACAAACTTTTCAATCAGTCTTAGTTGATTGTAGAAGTTATTTTTTTTCTTAGTGGAACGAATTCAGCTGAGTCCTGAAGGTGGCACTCTGACCTTAGTTGTGTACCTTTTTGAAGATTATTAGAGAAATTTTTCCTTCCAACATTGGGAGGGAAAAAAGAAAAACGAAACCAACCCCCTCCTTACCAGAAGGTCTAACAGCAATAGATGTAAGGATCACAAAATGTACGTCAAAATAGCCAGACATCTTTTGGATTAGGTCTGACTATATTTCACCAGAATCCAGTTACCTAAAATGCACTGACAAAGTCCTCAACCTCTCCTTCTTTCTAGTATACAATTTCTCTGTGGATCATTTTCCCGTGAAATGAACGATGCTGACAGTTACCATAGCTATAATTTCCCTCTGGGTTCCAGATATGTTGTCAGAAGAGAAGATACACGCTGCTGTCTAATAAACAGAGGAGACATTAGCAAATGTTTGCCTATTTAGCAAAAAGAAACACAGTGGGGAGTATAACTCCCCCCACCTCCCAATCTTTAGGGACTTGTGATTTCTTCTTCCTCTCTTCTCTGGAGATCCTTTGTTCCTGGCCTCCTGCCAAGTACTTTACTGATTCCTGCAAAATTAGTTGGACATTGATTCAAAACAAGCAAAAAAGAAAGCACTTCTTCATACGGTTCATAATTGAGTTGTGAACTTTATGAAACAGTGCATGTGGTGCTGTCAGGACAGCTTACATATTGGATCCAGGTTGTGACGAATTGCCTACCTTGAATAAGCTCAGGAATTGGGCCCACTTTTTTTTGGCAGCCATTTTGTGTGGTGCCTGGAGGCAGCCATCTTATGTTAGTCATTTCCTAGAGGAGGCGGAGCTTAGAAGCAGCCTGGAGGGAAATGTGGAGAACTTTTGTCATTGGCTGGGGAGAAAGTTGAAGTTGAGCTTGGTTGAAGTGTAGAAAAAAAAGGAGCTTAGAGGAGAAGTTTTTGTATTCTGACAGGGAGTCAGGTTCTGGCTGTTGAAGAAGTTAGTCAGGGTCTGGTGTTTGAAGAAGAGACTTAGGAAAAGGAGAGTGAAGGTTAGTGAAGCCAAAGAATATAGTTAGAGAGTTCAGAAAGCTATTAGTGAAGAATAGCTGGTATAGTGATTACTAGGCTTGGATAACCACGGAAAAATTTGGTTCTAAACTCGTTTTGTTTTTAGGGGGCCCTTGCGTTTCGTTT